AGTGCTGGGATTAAAGGCGTGCGCCACCACGCCCGGCGCAGGAATCTCACTTACACAACTTAAGTAAAACATACCTCTCTGAAGAGATGAAGATAGGTCTCTTCTGTATCCCAGAATCTAATCAATATCTATATCTATATATATAATATTAGCTATCATTTGGCTTAAAAGGGTTTATTGGGAAATGTCATCTTTTATACTATTTTCTACAGAGAAAATTTTTACTGTTTAAAATAACCCTGGACTTTTAAATTATAATCTGTTTTTATGTTCAGGCTGAGTATTATTTCTCCTGCAGTTGTACATAAAATGTTTTTACATTTAGAAAAAAAAGGACAAATACCATACAATTGTATTACATGACTCACAGAGTTCTATCTGCCTCTGCCCCCTGAATACTGGGTCTAAAGATGTGTACCACCATGCCTAGCTAAAAATGTAATTTTAAAAATGGCCAGCAAGATGGATCTTTTAGTAAAGTCACCTGGCCCCAAGCCTGACAATCAGAGTCTGATTGCCCAGAACTCACATGATACAAGGAAAGAACTGGCTCCCAGAGCCCTGTACCTGTGGTGTGGCACCTTGCGCAGCCTTGGTGTGGTGGGGAGGGGCTTGGGCCTGCCTAGGCTCAGTGTGCTGGGCTCTGCTGACTCCCCATGGGAGACCTTGATTTGGGGGATGTGGGGATGTGGGGTGGCTTTGGAGGGAGGGCTGGAGGGTGGGAGGAGGTGGGATCTGTGGGTGGTATGTAGAGTGAGCAGAAAATTTCTTAATAAAGAAAAACGGAAAAAAAAAAAGAAATAGACCATAAAAAAATAATAATAATAAAAAAACTGGCTCCCAGAAGTTATCTTCTGATCGCTGGATACATGCAATGTCATGCACCCCCATACACAAATAAATACAAGAAATGTAATAAATTTTTCTCTCTTTCTTTTTTTTTTAAATTGGGTTGGTTTTTTTTATTTTTATTTTTTTTATTTTGTTTTCAAGACAGGGTCTCTCTGTGTAGTCCTGGCTATCCTAGAACTCACTCTGTAGACCAGACTCAGAGATCTGCCTGCCTTTGCCTCCCAAGTGCTGAGATTAAAGGCGTATGTTTCCTCACGCCTTATATACCTTTCTCTGCCTGGCCATATCACTTCCTGGGATTAAAGGCATGTGTGCTTCCCAAGCAAAGGCATGAGATCTCAAGTGCTGGGATTAAAGGTGTGTGCCACCACTGCCTGACCTCTGTGTCTAATCTAGTGGCTGGCTCTGTCCTCTGATCCTCAGGCAAGTTTATTAGGTTATACAATATATCACCATAGGTGTGTGCCACTACTGCCTGGATTTATTTTCATTTTTTGAGACAGAGTCTCATGCAACCCAATATGGCCTCAAACTCAATAGGTAGCAGAATTTCTGATTTTCTTGCCTGGACCTCCCAAGGGCTGGAATCACAGTCATGTACCCCATCTTACCCAGTTGCTGTCTGAATGCGTAGACTCAGGTCTGACTGCCTCTGGTCCTGCCTTAGCTCTGTCAAGGATTAGCTATGCGATGTTTGGAAGCCCCTGAGGTTCCCCATGCCTTAGTTTTCTTAGCCACAAAGTTGAGGTAATAAAGCATGTCAGCCAAGCATGGTAGTGCACACTTGTAATCCCCAAACTTGGAAGGTAGAGGCATGATAATGACAAGCTCTAGGCCAGCCTGAGCTACATAGTAAGAACTTACCTAGCCGGGCAGTGGTGGTGCATGCCTTTAATCCCAGCACATGGGAGGCAGAGGCAGGCGGATCTTTATGAGTTCGAGGACAGCCTGGTCTACAGAGCGAGATCCAGGACAGACTCCAAAACTACAGAGAAACCCTGTCTTGAAAAACCAAAAAAAAAAAAGCTCAGTGTGGTGGCACATGCCTTTAGTCCCAGCATTCAGGAGCCTTGTAGATTTCTGAGTGTTCAAGACCAGCCTGTTCTACATGGTGAGTTCCAGGACAGCAAGGGTTATATATACCGAGAGACCCTGTCCCCAAACAACAACCAAAGCCCAACCAGCCAATGAGTTGCTATGCCTCTCAGTGCCATCATCATTATGCCTACACGTATGAATGCTCCTCTGCTTGTGAAGGTTAGATCTCCGAGAACTTGCCACGAGATGACGGTATAGTAAGGTGAAATGGAGCAAGCTATGAGCCAGCCACACAGTCCTCTGCAGAGTACAGGCTACTCCGCCTGGATGGCTGAAAGTTGCCGCTTGTGGGAAAGATGAGCATCATCCGGTGGGCCCAGGAACTAGAAATAAGTTTCTACTGAATGTACATGGCTTTCCCACCATCACAAAGGCGATGAATGAATGGAGATTGAGCCATCGGAGGTTGGAGACTATCCATATTAGGGCTATAGCTCACAAAGATAGTCATACAACCTTGAAATGGATTCTGTGTGTGAGCCTAGGTCTGGCTTTTTTTTTTTGGGGGGGGGGGTTCGAGACAGGGTTTCTCTGTGTAGCTTTTCCCCTTTCCTGGAGCTCGCTCTGTAGACCAGGCTGGCCTCAAACTCACAAAGATCTGCCTGCCTCTGCCTCCCAAGTGCTAGGATTAAAGGCGTGTGCCACCTAGGTCTGGCTTTAAACTCCTGATGGTCCTTTCCCAGAGTCAGGAGTGCTGGGATTACAGGCATGAATCCACTACTTCTTCTTGTTGTATTTTATGTATTTAGGTGTTTTGCTGGATGGATGGACGTGCACCACGTATGCATCTGGTGCCCACAGAGACCAGAAGAGGGAGTTGGATCCCACAGAACTGGAGACAGTTGTCAGCCATCATCTGGATGCTTGGAATCAAACCCCGGTCCTCTGGAAAAGTAGTCAGTGCTCTCAACAGCTGAGCTGTCTCTCCAGGCCATTAGCCTGTTACTTCCACGAAAGTTGTAATAACCGGTTTCCCCTTGCTTCTTAAGAATGTCACAGGCTCCCTCTGCTGGACAACCCCTAGAGCTTGGGCTAAGCCCCAAAGCCTTCACAAATCTAGGCTCAGGAAAGTATGTTGATAGCCCTTTAAGGGGCAGTACCTAGCTTCTGGTTGCCATGGAGACAACTAGCCGCAGACTGACTGATCCCGATCAGCATGTCTTCCAAAGTTTCCCCCTCAGGTGGGAAATGGGCTGCTGATCTGTGGGTAGGAGGAGAAGGGCTATTTCCCCCTTACCATCTTACCTGAGCGCGGTCTTAGCACATTCAGCTCCTGGGGACAGGGATCAGGACTAAGGTGCCCCTGCCTACCCTGCCCTTCTCCCCAGCTAAGGGGCTGACATCTTAGCTTCTCCTTCTTCTTGTAGGCTCCAAAGTCAAAGACCAGCAAGTAAGCCGGCCACCGCCGCCGCCGCCGCCGCCGCCGCCGCCCACGCATGAGCAACAGCCACTCCCAGAGGCCAATGATGAAGCCATCAACTTTCTTAACTCCTTCCGTGAGCCAGAGGGTGGGGTTGGGCATGGGAAGGGGTGTGAGTCTGGGGAGAAAGGAAGAGAGGATGCCTAGACGGGTCCTGTGTCGTCCGTCCGTCCCCCGTTCCCCGTCCCCTGTCCCCCCGCTTGATTCTCTTGAGACTCAGAAAAGACCTGATAGATACCTATTTGCTAATGTTTGTGCAGGGACAATCCTGGGGGGAGAAGGGGTACTCTTCACCAGTTGTTAGCAGCTGATGATCGGGAAGGAGACGCAGCAAGGCCATATGGGTGCTGAGGGTCTGGAGGATGGGCCTGAAGAGGGCTTCTCTCACCACGCAGGGGTGGAGGAGATGCTGTTGTTCTTCCCCGAGACGCTGGCCGTCGTCTCAGACACAGGGGTACCTCAGGGAGAGCTGACCATCGATGTGCAGAGAGGGAAGTACAGAGATGACCAGGGCATCCTGACCCACTGTGTGATGGTCCACGCCTCCAGCCGAGGCTACATAGATAAGTCGCTGTGTGGAAGCTCCCTCCTAGGTAGGTTTCCGCTGCCAGCTGCCCCGTATCACATCTTCCCTCCAAG